ATACGTTGAGGGAATTGGTCAGGCGATAAACTACGCAACGACCTTACGACGACATTCGGTCACGGAACCAATGCTGATGATGATCACGGGGATTAAAGTAACGAATTTGACCTGAATTAGAAACCAGCTCACCAATTTCTTGTTCCAAGACAGAAAGCATTCAACTGTGTAACCCTCTTCCTTCACGTTTCCTTTTCAACGGCGTTTTTAGCACATTTAAATATATCAAACAATACACGGACGAAACAATAATGATAGTCTGTTTTTGTTGCATGAAAAATTTCAAAGCAACGACAAACTCGTGTATACCAACGGTTTTCCATATTTAATACTTCTCGTTTTCACTCTCGCGTTGTTGTGTGACGTCACGAGCGGCGACGCGAGTTTTGCTTCCGCGTCTCGTATACACGAATTTGTTGTTGCTTTGAAATTTTTCATGCAAAAAAAAACAGACTATCATTATTGTTTCGTCCGTGTATTGTTTGATATATTGAAATTGTCACCTTTGATAATGGCTTATGTAAGCCGAAAGCTTAGTTTGGATTTACACATGTATCAATATGGTGATTTCCTTTCGTCTTTAAATGATAATGTTATTAAGCTGATAATGTTATTAAGCTTTAAAATAAATAGACAAAAGTTGTCATCTTTGTTGCCATAATTCACGACGTTTCGACCGTTGTACGCTCCGACCTTCTTCAGGACCTGTCTATATTTCTGAGACGAGATATTGTAACTATTTACATTGTTCAGACTGTTGTCCTCATCTTAGGACGAAAATTTTCTATGCAAATTTCTCGGACATTCAGGCCGGTAAATATTGTTAAAACTGTTTATTACTTAAATATTTGTATCTATAAAAAAAATGTATAAACATAAAAATGTCTTAAAGTAATTTTCGGACTTTGTCCATTATATATATATTTATAGTCGGGGAAATGTATGACAAAGTGTAAAAAGTGTTTAGGTGACGCCTTTCGACCTTTCGGATTTCATCATACTAAATTTGTTACGTTGAGACGACTAAACATGCGCATGTACGAGTATTTATTTTATATATATATATATATATATATATATATATATATATATATATATATATATATATATATATATATATATATATATAATAAAAAAGGCTTAAACACTAATATTCCATGGTCATAATTTTATTCCATTGGAATCGTAAATACGATCCAATTCATCAGACCTACAAATTCAAAAAGAAAATAGAAAAAAACCCACTCCGGAGATAAAAACAGAATTTAGAGAGAGTGTAAGTATGAGGAGGAGGAAGATTAAACCTTAACAGAGAGAATTTTAGGAGAGATGGGTGGAAGGGGTTTAATTAAGAGAAAATCTCCCTCCTCCTCATACACTCTCTCTAAATCTCTCTAAATCTCTCTCTTTTACGTGCTAATACCCTTGTAAAAGGTGTGACTCTATATATATATATATATATATATATATATATATATATATAGTGTGGCTATAATAATTATGATCTAGTCAATTTCATTTACTATCTTTTTTTCTAAATCAGATTAAATAAACTTTAAATCAGTTAATATTCCACAAATAATGTTACGAATGAGTATATTTTATTTTTGAAAGATTTCTTTTAAATAGAATTACGTTATAATCAGAGATGACTAAAAATGTCGTTAAATTCAACGATTTTTAGTGATTTCAAAATAAAACTCCTTCCAGTCGATTTCAATTTGTTTTGAAATGGAGCAAAATTATTTGGCTTATTGAAAATATTAAATTTAATCTGTTAACTTTAAATTCAAACTAAAATTAAAGCTTCAAGAAAGATTGAAAATTAAATTTTAAAAATTAATTTTAAACGTTGATGGAGGTGGAGGTAACTGTGTAAAAGATTTTGTAGGGATATCTATGTAAATTGAATTTCACTGCTGATATTACAAATGCTACTTATTACTGACTTATATTAAAGTCTGGTATATATATATATATATATATATATATATATATATATATATATATATATATATATATATATATATATATATATCACGATATATTTACCTGATGCTCACTGGTTGCTCCATACATTCGGCCTTGTGTCACATTTAAGCTACGCTGAGCAAATCACGATATATATTTCGCGAGCCTCACTGGGAGCGCCCTACTTTCAACATTGCGCCACATCTAAACAACGTTTAGGAAATCACTAGATGTATATTTACTGATCTCTGCACTTCGACGTGGTGTAGTGGTTAACAAGATCATCTCATTACTAGAGGGTTCGATCCTCGCTGGGTACTCCATATATGCGGCCACTCAGAGTGTTTTATCACAAACGCTGTAATTTCGACGAACATCGTAAGGTGCATATTCCGAATAAATATCCAGAATCCACCGACATTTCGACCCTTAAAATGCATGAAGATAATGACATATGCAAATTACGAACGCCCTGCCCCAGGAGAATGGGAGGAGAGTTCCATTAAATTTATTCTGATCTGTTTGATTCATTGCTCTTTCTAAATGATCACCTAACGAACTATTTCAAAATGAACACCCCTATTATGTTACCAACTTTTTGGTTGCATTCTATTCACGTTGGCCGTATTTAATTCCCTTTGACGTGTTGATTACCAGTACAACCGTTTTTCTCAAGACAAGCGATGTTTGTAAATAGTTTTGTATTATTTTTTTTTAATATTTTCATACTTGAATGCTATTTTTTGAAATAACTTGAAGAAGACATACAGGCTGTCGAAATATTGTTAAACATTGTTAAACAGTGTCTTTTTTGTTTTTCTATTCTTAAATCGAACCCTTCTCTAAATTTTATATTTCTAGCTTAAAAGCTGGCCTATTGGGCAGCATTTAAACTAGCTGCTGCCGAGGGCTCTTGATTGAGCCTTCATCAGAATAGGCAGGGGGGAGTAGATGTGATAGGCAACAATAAACAACAGAATAACTCAAAATTGATCACTGCATTTAAGTATTGCATTAATATTTAAGCTTACCTTTGAAAAGTTCAACAATAATTCTTCTGACGCCACTTAATTTAAATGTGATGTACGTAGGTCCTTACTTTGCGTAAAAACAATTATTTTTATTTCATGGCTGACTTTTGTTGGATTTCGCAATTAATTTCGCTTATTCTTAAATTTGTTTCAAAGTTATAAAAATTGTTATCGTACAAAAAATTCGTCGCAAAAAATCACGTAAAAAAATCGACGAAAACAATCGCATTAATGAAAATTGGGAATTCAAAATTTGAAGATTGCGGGTTTGGATCCGGCCCAGAATGTTTTTAATTTGCTCACAGACTCAGCCTGGTACGAAAATGATATGATATGTTGGACTACGGCCTCTCGGAGTAAAGGTGAAAACACGGACAATTTTATTTTGAAACACTGAAATTTGAGAACAGTAATTTTTTCATTTGAACATGAGGTATTGAAAGTTAGAGAGTTGTCTCCCTTTAATTGTTTTTATCAACCAAGATGGCAGAATCCGAAAACAATCGTAATAATAAAACTTTGGGATCAAAAATTTCAGAATTGCGCGTTCGGATCCAGCCCAGATTTTTTTTCATTTCCTCACGGAGTCGGCCTGATTCCAAAATGGTATGATATGTTGAGCTACGGCCTCTCGGAGCAAAGTTGAAAACACGGACAATTTTATTTTGAAACATTGTAATTTGAGAACAGTAATTTTTTCATTTGAACATAAGCTACTGAAAATTAGAGAGTTGTGTCCCTTTAATTGATTTTATCAGTAGAAGCCAAGATGGCAGAATCCGAAAACAATCGCAGTAATGAAAACCTGGGAATCCAAAATTTCAGGATTGCGGGTCTGGATCCGAACCGGAATGATTTTAATTTGCTCACGGAGTCGGCCTGGTTCCAAAATGGTATGATATGTTGGGCTACGACCTCTAGGAGTAAATCTGAAATAGTGTGACGCAGTGACACACAGACATTCGAATTTATTATACAGATTCTTCTTATTATTATTATCGAAGCTCTCGGAGATCCTCAGCATCTAATGGCAGGACCGACACACCTACAACGATGTCCTCAGTCGCACAGAAATGCTCGGCATTGAAGCTACCCTACTCAGGCATCGCCTAAGGTGGTCAGAACATATCACCCGAATGGCCCATCAAGACTCCTTCGGACCATCCTTTACAGAGAGCTCGTCAACGGCCAACGACATCTCGGAACCCCAAAGCGTAAATTCGAAGACCAACGGAAGGTTTTCCAGGTTTCAGCGCTAATACCTGCGGAACAGGAAGCCCCCGACCGTCGAGCGTGGCGAAGGGCAATGAATTTTGTTTGTTCCACTTTCAAGCAGAGGAGAAAGACTGAAGAGGAAGTCAACAGGAGGCAACGCAGGGCCCGGCATCTTCAGCCAAGACCATGACCCGCCCAACAATGCGATCAATGCCCGAAACTATTCCATTCCACACTCACGTCAGGTGCGGAGACACAGGATTAGCCAAAGCATTGTGGAGACACCGGATGAGCCCCGAGTGGTGCCGATGACAACGATTATTATTATTGAGTGAGAGACAGAGAGAGAGAGAGAGAGAGAGCAGTATACCCCAAAGTTATACTGGGGTATCAACCGAAGTCCAATATACTGACCATGGGATCCGGTCTGATAAGGGTATACAAAGCACATGCCTCACAGACAAATGTGCGCGATATGGTAACAGGTTGTTAGCAAAAGAGGCAACCCAATACGCAAATTACAAATTGGAGATGCCGGAATTTTTTTTAAATTAATTTTTTAGAAATACTTTAGCTTTATTATTCAATTAAAATAAACAGGCCCACAATCAAACGGGCATAAGCACACGATTCAGATGAAACTTATATGGACTGCTACAACACGTTGAAACACGATCCCCGAAGTTAAGCAACGTCGAGCTTGGCCAGTACCTAGATGGGTGACCGCTTGGGAATAGTGTAAAATTAGTTGTGCATGTAGAAATGGCTTATGGACACGTCACG